TGGTCCTTGGGACTGAGGTCCTGAGAGACCAGTTGACACGCTCCCAAAATATAATCATTTATTTTGAATTGTGTAGGTCCATGCGAACCTGCATTTGACATCCTGGTAAGAGCTGCTCTTGGTCCGTCATGCCAGCACGAGTCCCTTCAAATTCCACCTGGTCGATAGCAACTAAAAACTTGTCGTGGAAAGGAGGAATGATGATCCTTCTAACACTCAAAAGCATGCCAGAATGTGTACTGGTTTATATCCCCATAGATAGAAACTTGGGTTATTGTCAGGCTAGTAGTCAAGGACATTTGAAGACCACCTTTATGGAGAGTTTTTAACTCCTGTCTACCTCAAAATATTTAAAGCCACTCAGTATCTTCAGTGCATTCATTCATTCACCCTTCCATTGACTTCTTATGGCTGGCCGGGCACCATGCTAAAAAGGAACTGAGTGGTGAGTGAAAACAAGCGGTTCATGTCCTTATGGAGCTTGTAATCTAAGTTACAATTTAAAAAGAAGCCAACAAATATTATACTGACTCGTTTTCATAAGTTATGAGTAAAATGAATAGAAACAGATGACAGAATCGGGGTCTGTTTTCGATAAGAGTAGCCAGCAAGTTCCGTCTGAGGAGACAGCATTTGCACAGACAACTGGAGGAATGAGGGACTCTTTCTACAAAGGGGCTTGGGAGTAGGACTTAGAACCAGCTTGTTCAAAGGCCCTGAGGTGGGCGAGGGCCAGGCACGTTGGGAACCTGAAAGGAGGCTCATGGGGGTACAGGGCGCACCCAGTGGAGGAGTGGGGTGATGGGAGTGAGTGGGGTATAGAGGAACTTCCGGGTCACTGTCTTGGCAGCAATTTGAATCTTGTAATCTGAACTTCTCGAAGCCGTGAAGGTGACTGGGAGATGTGGAAGGGTGATGATGATAGAGTGGTCTGTTTAATCAGCTATAGATATTTACTGAGGACTCTACCAAGTGTCCGGTACTGTTCTAGCTAGTAATGAACTGGTGAGCAAAACAGACAAAAACATCCGCCGCTCCCCTCCGCCACGGGGCTTACATTTTATTATTTTTTAAAGATTTTATTTTATTTTTTATGTAATCTCTACCCCCAGTATGGGGCTCGAACTCATGACCCCAAGATCAAGAGTCGTCGCGTGTTCTACCAACTGAGCCAGCCAGGCACCTCTGACCTTCCTTACATTTTAATGTGGGAGGGTGTTCTTAGGGCAAAGGGTAAACTGATGTAACAGCTCCAAACTACAGTGGCCAGAAAAGGCAAGTGTTTGTTTCTCTGGCACGTAATAGCCCGGAGCAAAGAGCCAGCCTCTGTTCTGGGAGGGAATGGGGTGGTTTTGCCTTCCTCCGCAGTGGATTTTCAAGTTCCAGCCAGCTAGAAGGCAAGAGGGGGTTCAGTGCAAGTTTCTGTAGGAAAATGACCAAGAAGTTTCACAGGTCACTTGCACACATACCTTTGGAGAAATCTTTTTCGTGCGGTCCTCCCTAGCCACAAGGGAGACGGGGAAATGCCGTTTCTAGCTGAAAACGCAGGTGCTCAGGAAGACAACCGAGAGGATAACCGGTAGACAGGGAAACAGACCATGAACAAACAAGATAAATAATTGTAACGTCGTGTATGCTCGTGATGGGTGGTAAAGGGGAAATAAAGCAGGGAAGGGATGGGGAGTATGGGGGTAGAGGTGGCGATTTTTCAGAGGGTGACAAAGGAAAGCCTCACCGAAAAGGTGCCATTTGAATAAAGCCCTGACTGACGCCCGTGAGCAAGAAATACCATTCTGCGTTGTTACCAGGCCTACTGTGCGAGAGGGCTGGTTTTAACGTGTTTGAATCTCAGACCTTATCTGAAAGTAGTTAGTAGAAAGGCACCGTCCTACCACAATTGACTTAGAGCAAGTAGTGCTAGGAGGCCCTCACCAATGAACGCTGGATGGGTGGGTTCTAATGCTAGGGCCTGGACCCAGGCATTTGTCACAGATTTGGGACTGCAGGATTTTGTCTTGGCTCTTCGAAAGATGCTAAGCTTAGCTCCCTAAGAGAGAAGGTACTAAGGTCCCTCTCTTTGCAACACTCTAAGAGTGTTGCACATACTTGTTTTATAGGCTTTGGGGGGGGGGGTGATTTTCTTTCTAACAGAATTATGTATGATCTCTGTGAGTCTGCTATAGAACTCTCGTTCATTTTAGTCAGGTGTTGTCAAGTGTAGTTTTAAGGATATGGTGACATTAAGGGGCGCCTGGGTGGCTCGGTCGGTTGAGCGTCCGACTTCGGCTCAGGTCATGATCTCGCGGTTTGTGGGTTTGAGCCCGGCGTCGGGCTCTGTGCTGACAGCTCGGAGCCTGGAGCCTGCTTCGGATCCTGTGTCTCTTTCTCTCTCTGCCCCTCCCCGACTTGTGCTCTCTCTCTGTCTCTCAAAAATAAATAAATGTAAAAAAAAAAAATAAGGATATGGTGACATTAAAAACAATGGAGGGGCGCCTGGGTTGGCTTAGTTGGTTAAGTATCTGACTTCGGCTTAGGTCATGATCTCACAGTTTGTGAGTTCGAGCCCCACATCAGGCTCTCTGCTCTCAGCGCAGAGCCTACCTCAGATCCTCTGTCCTCCTCTCTCTCTGCCCCTCCCCTGCTTTCACACATGCGTGCGCGCGCTGTCTCTCTCTCTGTCAAAAATAAACATTAAAAACATTTTAAAAGGAATATTTTCATGTTCACCACTGGTCATCCAAATATTGCTTAGTTTTTTTCTAGTTATAGAAAGCAATATTTTACAACCCTTCACTGTTTTAATTCTATTCCACTACCGATTTAAGTATGTTTCAATGTAAAATACACAGTGAACACCTTTTTCTACTCCTCTGCACCATTTTTTAAAGGGGCAACCCATTTGGTCAATGGGACAAAAGAAAAGGATTTTCTGCCTGTTTTTTCTCTACTCCCCTTCCCACCTCCAGCACCCCTACATTTCAGTACATAGATGCCTCTAAGATTTCTTATTGTTGTAGTAATTATCTTTCATTAGGGAACTTCGAGTTTAGAAAAAGAGAATGAGGCACATAGAAGATGTGATGAAAATACCAGGCAGAAAGTGATAAATGCCATGCGAAAGCTAAAAATTAGATGCTCTTCCAAATGAGATAAGTAATTCTGTCAGTCTTTGCTTCCACAACAGTGAAAGGAGACAATAAGGTTACTTTGAGCTTCATATATAACGCTCTCAAAGGAAATTTTTCCTTCTTGGAAAAGAGAAGCATCTGACCTGTCATCCTACTGTTTATTTTCGTGAGTCTTTTCCTACGCACAGAGAAAACCTCAAGTCAGACTGGAAAAGCACCACTAACAACTGCACTGCATTTTACAGTCTTAGAAGCTACCCTGGATTCTTCCCTTCTCCCCCTCGTGCTATCTTGCACGGTCCGTCACCAAGTTCCGGGCAGCCCGCCTCCTGAATATCTTTTGGGTCCACCCTGGCCCCTCTTCATCCGTCTCTGCAAAGCAGTGAGACCCGATTTTGTAAAAACTTACACTAAAGTCCTTTTCACGCTGACTCCTTGTGGCACCCCCCTGCCTGCCTGTGCGACCACATCTCTGACCCCTGACTCTTCCCTTGTGTTTCTCAGTCACACCGGCCGGGCCGGCCCTCGGGGCTCTACCCTGGCCCACCGCACGCCGCCGCTCCCACCGTGTGGAATCCTCTTCCCGGAGACCCCACTTCTAGTCCCCCTTCCAGAACGAAGCTCGAGCAGCACTTCCTTCAGGAAGCCTTCCCTTACCCCCCACCCTGGGGTCAGGCCCCCTAGTCTCACAGGGCCGCATGGCCCCTTGTGCTGCTGTAAAGCAGGTCTTTCCGCAGTTGTAACTCACAATGGATCTTGGAACTGATGATTAGCCGCCTCCCCCGCCCGTGGAACAAGACCCAAGAGGGCGTGTGTGCTTATTCGCTGCGCTGTATCTAGAGTCGGGGTCTGCTGTAGTGCTGGGAACTGCAAGAAATGCTCAGAAAATATTTGTTGCTGGAGAAAAAGAGCAGAACATTCCCATATCCTTTCAGTTTTGCCTTGAGTTGTTTTATTTAGGATCGTAAGTTTTCTAACGGCGGGATGTTGACCCAAGACGGGCACCAGCATCCCCTGGGAGCTGTTGGGACTGCAGCTGCGGGGCCTCTGGTTCAGACCTGACCTGCTGCACCGGAACCTCTGGGGGGGGGGGGGGGGTTGCGGCCTGGCCACCTGTGGCTCCCGGGCCCTCCAGGTGATGCTGACAGGCAATCGGGTTTGAGAGCCCGTGTTCCGCAAATACACGCACTGAAACGGACTCCGGCAAAGTAAAATAGGATGTACTATGTAAACCAGCTTTGAAATGAAGTTACACCGCTGCTCACTAACAGTGGGTAATAAACTGCATTTCAGCCACCGCACCCCCTCCCCCCTGCCATTTTATCAGTTGATGTCTTCACAGGTCCACTGAAATGTCAACAAGGGCGACTTGACCAGTCAACCCACACCCGGACTTTAAAAATTACGTAGTATTTTCCAACCTTCACCTCTCTGAATCTAACTTTTTGTCTAGTGCCTTCCAAATCCAAGAAATGATTGTAAAACTGACAATGCCCATAATTCCAGTGTTGGAGGTCTGTTTTTTAAATCATGTTAGGGGTGCCTGGGTGGCTTAGCTTAGTCCGTTAAGCGTCTCTTTTTTTCTTTAAAATTTTTTTTAATGTTTATTTATTTTTGAGAGATAGAGACAGCATGAGCAGGGGAGGGACAGAGAGAGAGGGAGACACAGAATCCGAAGCAGGCTCCAGGCTCCGAGCTGCCAGCACAGAGCCCGATGCGGGGCTCGAACCCACGAACCTCAAGACTTCTTCTGACTCTTGATTTCGGCTCTGGTCCTGATTTCAGGGTTCGTGAGTTGGAGCCCCCGTTGAGCTCTGCGCTGAGAGTGTGGAGCCTGCTTGGGATTCTCTCCCGCCCTCCCTCCCTCTCTGTCTCTCTCACCCTCCCCACGCGTGCTCTCGCCTTCTCAAAATGAATAAACTTAAAAATATTGTTTTAACGTTTATTGGTCAAAACAATTTTTTGCTAAAGCTTAGGTTGTCATAGTTTCTAGATTTATATCTAAAGCATTTTAAAGCATTAGCAAGGTTCAGATGTGCATATTCTTGGCTGTGTTTAGATTCTGGGGCTGTGCTACACCATCAAACTGCTGATGGATTGACTGCGTTGTCAAAGGTCACTCATCCTCGATTTTGCCTTTGACTTTAAATTTGCTCCTTGTTTGACTCAAGGACTGTTTTGACAAAACCATTCCCATCTGGTGACTCTCAGGCGATCCACAAAATTAATTGCGTTTTTATTCTCACACAACAGGTGCACAAGGCTCATTGATTCTCTTTCCGATAATTGGTTAGGAGCACAAAATTTGAACAGGGACGGGAGATAGCCAAGGAAAGATTTGTAAAATATTTTGGAAAACTTTTAATTTTAGAAGAGTTGTAGATTTGCAGAAAAGTTGCTTAGAGAGTAGAGTTTTCCTATATCCCGCATGCATTCCTGTATTACCAACATCTTACACTACTAGTAACGTGTATTTGTCACAATTACTGGACCAGTATTGATACGTTATTGTTAACCGAGGTCCATACTTTATTTCCTCAGTTTTCCATTAATATCATTTTTCTGTCCCAGGATCCCATCCAGAATATGCCGTGTCATGTTTAGTTACCGTGTCTCCTTAGGCTCCTGGTGGCTGGGACAGCTTCTCAGACTTCCCTTGGTTTAGATGACGTTGATAGTTTTGAGCAGTACTGGTCAGGTGTTTTATACTATGTCCATCAATTGGGATTTGGCTGTTTTTCGTTTTTGTTTTTAAGTTTTAGTTCACATGCAGTGCAGTACTGGTTTCGGGAGTAGAATACAGTGGTTCATCACTTACAACACCCAGTGCTCATCACAAGTACCCTCCTTAGTACCCATCAGCCATCTAACCCGTCTCCCACCTACCTTCTTCCATCAACCCATAGTTTGTTCTCTATAGCTAAGAGTCTCTTGTGGTTTGTTTCAGTAGATTGTTTTTAAACGTGAGTTTTCAGATAACATCTTTCTTGCTGAGTGGGACCTTTTAAATTTCACTGTAATCATGGAGACAGGTATATGCAACTGACATGTTTCAAATGCTTACTTAAATTGTGAAGTGTGTTTAGCTGGTGAAGGGATTTGAAATTAATGAATATTCTCACGAATATTTGTTCTGGGGGCAGTTAGGGGAAGCTAATGTGTTTTGCAAGTGTTCTCGTGTCCAGCTTGCCCACATCCACTCTCGTTCCTCAACCTCCAAGCCTCTGTTTGCCTGTAGCTGTTCCTAGAATTCAATTGCCTGCCAGCTAAAACCACCGTAAAAACATTTAGGTAGATAAAGTGGCCCAAGATTCTTTTTGCTTGGCAAGAACTCACTTGCTAAAATGGCTTTTAATATGTTTGTGCCTCTCTGCTATGCTGCTTTTGCCAGAATAGATGGCAAGTCTAAAGATTTGCTTGTCTTCCTAACTCCTTTTTTAATATCTCATAGCAGTGACTGAGCTATTGATCTGAAGGGATAATAACAACCCTGCATGTGCTTTCTGCAAGTTCCGATATTTTAAGAACTGAGAGCTTTGAAAAAGAACATTGCTTTACTTCGCATAAACACAGAGCTGCTTCAAACCAAATCATATACAGCATGTGTCATAAACAAAGTTGGTTCCTTGAAATCACCAGATTCAGAGGGAGCAAAGGATGATAGAGAAGGAATGAAAGCAAATAATAGTACTTGCCCAAAGACTGATGACCAGGGTCAGCTACCCGGGAATATGGTCCCCAGCAGCCCCACTCACTCCTTACCCTCCCCCGCCCCCCATCCCTACTTCAGGCTCTTGGCTTCTGACATAAACTTAGAGCACTTCTCAGAAAGATTGTTCCGGAGGGAAAGGCACACAGAAAGTAAACAAGTAGCTTTTTGCTGAAATTAACCTTTAGTACATTATTAATAGTTTTGGGGTTCTAGTTTGACTCCTCAGTAGAGAAAATAATGAGCAGCATGCCTCATTAAGATTAAGATATATTTCAAATAACTGAAAACAATACATTTGCCATAAGGTAGATAGAGAAAATTGGGGATTTTTTTTTGCTGCATATGTTTTTTTTTCTTTTAATAATTTGGTACTTTCTTTTTCCAAAAAAAATTTTTTTAATGTTTATTTTTGAGAGAGACACAGTGAAAGCGGGGGAGGGGCAGAGAGAGGGAGACACAGAATGTGAAACAGGCTCCAGGCTCTGAGCTGCCAGCACAGAGCCCCATGCAGGGCTCGAACCCATGGACCATGAGATCATGACCCGAGCCGACGCTTAACCAACTGAGCCACCCAGGCGCCCCTGCTGCATATATTTTTTAATGGAAGTTCTGGCTAATAGGGTCTAAGAGGACTCCCTGATTTTGAGAGATACGCCAAAAAGGTAGAGCTAAAGAATACTTAGATTTATATTCTTAATTTCTCAATATTATATCTTATATATCTGTTCACCACATGGAAGAATCCAGCACCCATTTTCAAACTTTGGTTTTAACTTTTGCTAGTAAACTGGCTGGGATAGTATTTGTCAGGTTTCTTCACTGTAAAGTTACTCTTTTTTAAAATAGAGATTTTTTTTATTGATTTGCTTACCTCTGATTCTGGAGATGAATATGGTTCATTTCATTTACTCAACAGAAGTTATTGTGAATTAAAGAAAATGTGGTTTTAGGAATTTTTTTTTTTTTTTAAACTCAAGGCCCACTAATTGGAAGAATAAACCATACTTAAAGGAGCAGCCCATACTTTGTAGGTGACAAAGGTTGGCCAAAGTCAGGTTTTTGGTGTATAATATGTATGTGTTTAGCTTTTCTAAATATACCGAGCTTATTCTATTTGATTACAGAGGGATATTGTTAAGTAATTCCAATCACGTTCTTCACATGTTACAGCAGTTCATTTATTCAGTTATTAGCAATTCATTTATTCAGTTAACACCAGTTATTAGACTTTCTCACCTTCTCTTTCCATTTATTTTATACTCAGAAGTAACAGTGAAAAGCCTTTCCATAAATGAGACCCTTTCTCTCTTCCCAGCTTTCGTAGAAGTACAAAGGGTGCTATAGATATTAGGGCTCAAGCAACCGCCTGCTTTGCATTTCTTCAAATGCTAGTCATAGTATTTCTTGTGTTGAAATTTGTTAGGGAGTTTCCATATCAAGCAATGAGCGTGTCACGCAGCAGATGAGCCTCTAGGATGAATTTGATTCATTCTCCAAAGCAGCAAAATCTCATCATCAGATGGTGTTGCTTGAGGCTTTCTCTTGCTTTCGAGTTGGATGATCTAAATGGCGTCACCTCTGGTGGGTTTCCATCCTGTCACGTATCAAAGAACGTCTGTGCAGATGGAAAGAGATTTTCTGTTGGGCTCTGTGTGAGCTCCGTGGGAAGGGTTAAAAATCAGGAGCGAATGTGTTTAGCTCCATTATACTTTTTAATGACTGGCATCTCTACCAGATTTGTTGACACTACAAACAGGGAAGGAGCAAAGACATCAGGGATTTATTGCTGGCTCTGCCGCTAGTTTCTTGTGTAATTTTGGAGGGTGTTTTTTTTTTTTTTTTTTTATGTAACTTTCCTCAGTGTTCCTCAGACTTCCGTCTGTACAGTGAGAGTGGATAGTCCAGAGCGTTGTTTAAACCCCTTAGGAACATAGAAGTCTGTGGTTCAGAATGGGAAATATGAAAAGCAATATGGGCTGCCCCCTCCATTACATGTTTATGATCATACATGATCATGAGATGGTACCTTAGGAAAAAAATGTACTGGGAATCTGATCTTCCCACCAAAGGTTGTATATGTAGCTGGGGACACGGCTCTTGACCAAGGGACTGATGCCTACTAATTATTTTTTCTAGGTATGATGACACATATAAAAATGAGTGGATTTCCGGGTAATACCTGTGGGCCATAGAGCTTTTTAAGAAACGTATTCTGGATTAGGGAAGTGTGGTGGTGGGTGGGGAAAGTGGACAGAGAAGAGATCTCTGTAAGCAGAATTCTGTATTACTCTTCCCTGGTCCTTCCCATGTGACAGTCTCTCTCTCTCTCTCTCTCTCTCTCTCTCTCATTGGTATTCTTTCCTGCTCATGATCCTGCCTCATGCTTCTGATGTTGGGAGGGCTCTGAGGGCCTGCTGACTTCCATGCCTTAACAGTGGACAGAGCTGGGGCAGGTCAACCATGAACCCGGCTTTGGGCCCCAGCCTGTTCTAAGTTGGGGAGAATTTCAGGAACCTTAAGCTGCGTAGGTCAGCATGTCTGCTAGTCTCCTTCTGACGTCATGTGCTTAGGTTTTCTGTAAGGCTCCTCTTGCTTAGTTCCTTGTGATTGAGGCTGGCCTTGTACTTCTGTGCCAGGAGCTGGGCCCTGTTCTCTTTCTCCACTGTGAAGTCCTTAATCTGGTACAGTGGTTGATACCCCAATTTCCCCAAGGTTAGGAAGGATGCTTTCTTTTAGCCAGGCCTCCTGGGAACTTGAGCTTTGCCTAGACCCATGCCTGTCATTGGGACTTTGCTGGTTATCGGTGATGTTGGTGCTTACTGACTGACTGCTTTTTACCAGATTCTTCCCGTTCTGATCTTCTGTCTGCTTTCTCCTCGCTCAGTACCCTGGTGCTCACCGCTCACCCACGTGGACCTCTGCCTGTTGCCGCCTACCCTCCTTTTCTAATTATGCACTCTTGCCTACTTGCGTTTCTTCTAGACCTTGCTTCTGGGTCTACCTCCAACCACCTGATACTCCTTCCCTCTAACATGGAGGCTCCTGATGTGTACCACACTGCCTGCCTTCAGAAGCTTAGTTATGACGATCGGTTGCTTCCTTTTTCTAGGGCCTTTATTTAAAAAATCTGCCAACTTTTAGCTGTCTTTGTTTGTTTTTTCCTGATGTGGCAAACTCACCCCTTGACATTTGTAATGGGATCAGTTTTTTTGGCTTTCTTTAGAACATCTCACCTAGCCCCTTTCCTGCCACTACTTCACTTTCACAGGGGAGCGGCCTTGCATCATAAAATCTTCACGTTGGAAGAGATTTCCAAAGATATCCAGTTCAACTTTCTGTGTAACGAGTAGCTTATCAACTTCCAAAACCAATGGCATTTTACAACGGTTCTCTACTGGTTTCTTGGGCCCAAAATGTGAATGCATTCATTTATTTATTGTGCTCATTCAGTCAGTCAGTCCACACAGTTACTAAACATCTACCGTCAGCCAGGCACTGTGTGTGTGTGTGTGTGTGTGTGTGTGTGTGTGTGTGTGTGTGTGTGATCTCTTCTGCATGGCTGAGGGTTTGATTTGCAAAAGGGCTCTTTCTGCTGCCTCAGTTGACATCATCTTTCTGGTCCACCACCAGTTTTTCAACCACCCGGAAAAGAAAGGGGGAACTCCTCTGCCTCTGCTTTCTGCCTGTCGATCCCTGACTTGCCCTTGGAATATCATCTTTCTAAATGCAGTCTTGGTTTGTTACTCCTCTGTTAACAGGCTTCACATTGACTCCCCCTCAAACTGACATCTAACTCTTAGACACAACTTACGAAAGCCCTCAACCTTTCTGCTTCATGCCTACCTCTCTGGTCTTCTGCACCATTTTCACCAGGCCCTCTGCCCCAGAACTTCGTGCATTTTCCTGGCTGTATCATGCTTACTCACATTTCTGTTGTATATGCTGCTCCTGCTACCTGGAATGACTGTCAGTTTTGTCTTCTTGGTGAACTCGGGGGCACCGAGAGCGGATAGAAAATGGTGCACAAGGAGGAGTAAATCAAAACTCTTCCTCTTCCATTAAGGGGCACTCTGGGCCGTTGGCTGCTACTGAACCTTCATACGCCCCTACCACTGCCCACCAGCAGGGCTGTAAGCTACTCAGGACCCGGAATTTCTCTCCATCCATCTTCAGCCTTACCAGAGCCCATCCCAGAATGGGCAGACAATAAAATATTTGTTAGACGAACAAGCGACTGAACAAATGAAGGCACGTCATTATCTTCTTTTTTTTTTTTTCTTGTAAGATTTTTTTTCATGTTTACTTTTGAGAGAGAGGGGGAGACACAGAACCCGAAGCAGGCTCTAGGCTCGGAGCTGTCCGCACAGAACCTGACGCGGGGCTCAAACCCATGAGTTGTGGGATCATGACCTGAGCCGAAGTCGGACGGACGCTTAACCGACTGAGCCACCCAGGCTCTCCTGAAGGCAAGTCTTCTGTAGTTTACTTTTCACTTCGGGTCTCCCTTGGGCGCTGAGACTGCCACTTAAAAGACTCCTACCGCTGTGCTGACAGTAGGCTCCCTGCAAACTCAGGACTGTGCACACTAGTTAATACACTATTAGACACCTGCCTGTGACGGTCACCAAATAGCCTGCCAAACAGGGAGAAGGGCCCTTTGGGGGTTTTGAGCACCTCTTCACCTTTTTGCACCCCGCAGACTCTGCTGCCAAGATAAGCTTCTACTGTGTGTGCAAAAAACTCCAATCAAGACAAATTGCAGAGAATGAAAATGCCTCTTCCCTGCTCTTGTCAATTGGAAGAGTTGTAAAGTGAAGAAAATGAGTACTTTAACATCCCTGTCTCCTCAAGCAGTTGTCTTAAATGAGTCATCTACAAACTCAGGCAGTTGGTAAGGACAGTCAGTGGCCATCTATCATTTTAACGTGATTTATTTCAAATAAATAGCAAATGGGGTATTTTGGTCCTAAATTATGCATTTATCACTTTCTTGCCGGAGCCCTTTTTTATACAACTATATCAGTGAGCAGCGAAAGACACACAGACAAAACTGTCGTGAACTTTGTCAGTCTTCCCTGTCTTTCTTCTGCCCTTTAACTTATGATGTCCATTAAACTTATGATCAAAACTCAGCACTTTCCATTCGGATTAGTTGTAGATCTCTGCCTAAAACAGATGGCCATTTCTGAGGCGGTATGCATTTTTGTTTTTGTTTTCCTGGTATATTGAGGTGTAATTGACATACAGTAAAATTCACCCTTTTTAGCTATTTACAAATCTATGAATTTTGACAATTTTATATTTGTGTCACCACTGAAGTCAAGATAATAGAATTGTCTGTCACCCAGAATAGTCCTCATGCTCCTTTGTAATCAGTCCCCTCCCTATATGACCAACCCCTGGCAGCCACTCTTATTTCTGTCTCTATAACAGTTCTGTAGAATTTCATATAAACGCAATCATAACGTGTGGTCTTTTGAGTTTGGCTTATTTCGCTTAACATAATGCTTTTGAGTCATCCATGTTGTTGCATTTATCCATAGGTTGCTACCTTTTATTGCCGAGTAGAATTCTATTATACGAACGTGCCAAGATTTGTTTGTCCATTCACTGTGATGGACATTGGGGTCATTTAAGTGTTCGTGATTATGAGTAAAGTTGCTATAGGCATTTATATTCGAGTTTTTGTGTGGATATCTAGCCCTATTTCTCTTAAGTAAATACGGAGGAGTGTGTATTTAAGTCTATAACAAATTGCCAAACTGTACTGTTTTTGGTTCCTACTGGCAGTACAAGGTTCATGAAGATTTACTCCTATTTTTTTCTAGAAGTTTTTTAGCTTTAGGGTTTACAGTTTCAGTCTGTGATGAATTTCCAGTTTTATGTTTCGAGAGAGGTTTGAGTTGCGGTTCACTGAAATATAAATATGCCCCATCATTCCATTGTCATTTATTGAAAGACTAAAAGACTATCCTCTGTCAATCGAATTAAATTGGCATTTTTGTCAAAAATCAATTGACTGTATTATGTGTGGAGCAATTTCTGGACTGTCCACTCTGCTCCATTGATCTGTGTGTTTATTCTTTTGCCAATATCTCACTGTTTTGAGAAGTTTGTAGCTTTATAGTAAGTCCTGAAATTAGTGGGCTTGAGCCCTCCAGATTTTTCTTTTTCAAATTGCTTTGGTTGTCCTAGATTATTTGTTTTTCCATATAACTTTTAGATCACCTTGTAAGTTTTTTTTTTTTTTCTTCCACCTTGTAAATCTCTTAAAAAGGAAACTTGCTCAGATTTTATTGAGCATTGAATTGAATACTGAATTGGGGTTGAAATGAATCTATTGATGAATTTGGGAGAGAATTGCAATATTGATGATATTGAGTCCTCTGATCCATGAATACACATCTGTCTAACTATTTATATCTTTGATTTCTTTCACCAGTGTTTTCTGTAGTTTTCAACATAATAAATCTTAAAGTACTTTGTTACATCGATCCCAGAGTATTGCATATTTTATTGGTGCTATACAGCAGATGGTGCTTAAAAATTTCAGTCCCCAGTTATTCGCTGTTGTATATAAAAACAAAATTCAGTTTTGTATACTGATCGTCTGTTTTCCAACCTTGCTAAGGTTACTAGATCCAGTAGTTGTTTATAGATTCTTTTGGATTTTCTACTTAGATTATTATGTTTTCAGTGAATAAAGACAGTTTTATTTCCCCTCTCCAATTTTATCTACCTTTAATTTTTTTCTGTGCCTTACGGCATTAGTTAGAACTTCTGTCCAGTATGATGTTGAGTACACGTGGTAAGTGTGGTTCCCCTGCATTATTCCTGGTCTCATGGGGGGAAACCATTCAGTCTTTCCACCATTAAGTATGAGTTAGCTATAGGTGTTTTTCGTAGATGCTCTCTGTCAGGCCGAGGAAGTTCCCTTTTTTATTTCTAGTTCATTGAATATTTAAAAAAATCATGAGTGGCTGTTGAGCAAATGTCATACTTTTTCTGAGTCTATATAGATGTATGGATTTTCTTCCTTTGTTGATATTATCGCTGGCATTGCTCGAGTTTTGAATGTTGAACTTGCATTCCTAGACTAACTCCCACGTGACCGTTGTATACTGTTCTCTTATATTTTATAGATAACAACCATGGTCAGGTGCCATGAAGTTGTTGGCAATTCCTTAATCATATGTGTGTTTTAAGGGTCACGAGAATCACTTCCATCTTTATTAAGGGAAATTAAAACAAATAGAGCGAGTGTCTTTGTACTAAGCAGTGCGTACATTTATTTAATCCTCTTTAATGGGAAATTGAGGTCTAGGAAATAATTTGCACCATTGAAGT